ACTTTAATTGCCTTCTGCCAAGAGGAAGTGATTAATTTGCCAATTTCCCGAAATGGCTCACTTGTTAATTCGCTTCATGATACTGGCAGAAGATATTTCCATGTGAATGGTCAGGCTTGATTAGATTACTCTGTCAAACTTAAACATTCCGAAGTGGCTCACACTAGCTCACTCACGGTCAATAATATAGCTGCAGCCCAAGTTTACTTGAACTCAGTGTTATCTCCTAATAAATAAGCTGAAGAATAAACTCATTATAATTCTTTCCTTTTAAACAAGATATGTTTGTGAAGCAGACATTTTAAGGTAGGCAATTAGGAAAATGCATTTAAGGAATACGAAGTACATTTATGAAAGCTGAGTCCACATTTATCGCCATCTCCACAGCTTCCTTTGACCTTTCACAAGGCTTAGCCGAAATAGCTAAAATACTATGGTATTATTTTGCCCTTACAATAACATCAATGTGTTTTTTTTCAGAGGAAAAGTGTTTTCAAATCACAGCAAAACAAACATAAGTATGCCAACATTATTAGAAAAATAACTCTTACAGAAATGCCATATTATTTCACATTGTTTCATGTCATTGTTTCACTTCTTTTTGTCACCCTACATCATGCTAGTTGATGCTTCCTGTTCTATCCATGTCCAAGGGTGATGCTATAGTTCTCAGCTACAACTTCCAAGAGTTACCTCACGGTTCACTACCAGCCACTCACACAGAGGACCCTGGCCGGCAACTTCCCAAGTATCCCTGGCCCCATCATTCTTGCAATCTCTAATTCTCCTCATTTGTCCATCTTTCCTCCCAACCTTCTCTTCTTTTGCTGCCTTCTGGCACTTCCCATTTCTCTGTTTCTGTCCACCTACATTTTGTCTTCCATCTTTCCTGTGCACACTCCTTCCCATTACTACGTTGCAACAAAGAAACTTAAAAAAGAAAAGGAAAAAGAGAACTATGCCCAGTGCTGCTGTAAGCATTAATCTGAGAAGTCATTTTGTGATGCCTTTTCTATATTTGCATTTCCTACTTGGCATTAATACCTCTATTAATAGATGCTACTAGTGCCTCTGTTAATAGATGATAGCATGTTGATAATATTGTACATCATGGCATAAATTTAACTTGTTCTTATATTGCTGTTTCTTATTTTGAAGATGATTGTACACAACTCTGACCATTTAAAATATCTTTTAAAGTATGCAAATATTTATCTCTTGAGAGGAATGTGATAACTTTTGATAGACGCAATCAAATATTTAACTACATAAACAGATAGGCCTTTTTCTTTGAAGACAAAAATAGTCACCAAATCAGACTGCTCCAGCATCCTGTTCTCTACACAACATATGCAAAACTCACAAACAATCCAGGAAGGCAATAGTACCCATTAATAGTACTCTATTAATACCCCCATTCCCAAGAAACTAGTATTCAGTGGCTGACTATCTCTAAAGATAGAAGTCTGCAGAACCAGTGGTTTCTCCTTTAAATCAAAGCACAGGGATCCCCATATCTTTGGGGGTGGGGTCTAAAACAGGTTTTACAAAACCAACAGTGGGCTAGTGACTTTCAATCTATTTTTGGGAATGGTGTGGTCTGTGCTCAGTCCCAGGGGAAGAAAATTGTCCATGGGATTCCAGAGTTCCTCAGTCCTGCCCTATAGGTTTCTCTTTTAAACTGAAATAACCTAAACAACTACAGTGGTGCCTTGAGTTATGAACTTAACTGGTTCTGGAAGATGGCCATAATTTAAATTAATTGCACCATTTCCCATAGGAATACACCGAAACGACATTAATCCATTCCAGCCGGGGGGGGGGACAACCCTCCCCCCCAAAAAACCACACAAACCCCCACTGCAAGACCCATCGGAAACATGATTAATCTGTTCCGGCTGGGAAAAAAAACACCAAAAAATTGCAAGACCCATCGAAAATGTGATTAATCCATTCCAGCTGAGAAAAACACACCAAAAAAACACACAAAAAAACACTGCAAGACCCATCGGAAACATGATTAATTCATTCCAGATGGGAAAACAAAACACCGAAACACAAACAAATACTGCAAGACCCAATGGAAATGCAATTAATCCGTTCCGCCCCCCCCCCAAAAAAAACCAAAAAACCAACCACTGCAAGACCCATCGGAAATGCGATTAATCCATTCTGTCTGGGGGGGAAAACACACCAAAAAGCCCTCAAACACTTTAAACCCATCGGAAATGCGATTAATCCGTTCCAGCCAGGAAAAAACAACAACACTGAAAGACAAACAAACACTGCAAGACCCATCGGAAATGCAATTAATCCTTTCCAGCCGGGGGGGGGGGGGAAGCACACCAAAAAAAAAAAAAACACTGCAAGACCCATCACAGCACAGAAACATAATGCCCCCAGTCCAAACCCACGCTGTAAAACCCTGTAATCACTCAAAGTAGGCATTTTAAAAAGCAGAAAGCAGTACTAGGCAGTCCAAAGACTCATCTGAACGCACACTCTCCAAGCACTGGGGCGAAAGAGCTACAGAGAAGCAGCCTCTTCACTGACCAATGGTTAGCAGTTTAAATTCCCTCCCTTATCCCCTGCCTTTTTTCTGCTCGCATCTCAAAGCTCCGGTCACAAGTCAAAGCAAAATTTTGCAGCCGCAGCTGGTCATAACTCGAATTGGTCAAGGCACCACTGAAGTCAAGACGTTCATAAGTCAAGGCACCACTGTAATGTTTCCTGACAGGAAAACCTCTCCAGTTGGAACTGCAGATAATTTCAGTATATCCTTTTATACATCTGTAATAGACTTATGGGAACGGTATAAATTAAATTATACATAGCATACTAATATGGCCATATGCTATGTTTCCAGAGAGAGGCATTACAATGCTTCTTTCTTTGTTCATATCAGATCACTGCACAATTTAAAATTATGGATGTACAGTTTATGAAATACAGGTAAAATTAAAAACAAATTGAAATGTTAAGATAATTAGACTATTTTGACCAAAAGCAGACTACTGATTTTGTCTTGGCCATTTACTAGAGCTTCTTTTGTACACATGGAGGGAATAAATTTAAATCCTTTTCTTCATAATCCATACTATGAAATATAAATGCCAATAATAGGCAATATGCAGACTTGAACCCCACAAATGTTCCTTCCTGGCCTTTTTTTTTTGCTGCTCTTAGTATTCTGCAGGCCCTCTGACCCCCCCTTTTTTTCTGAAAAAAAAATTGGCTTAGCAGTCCCTTTGTGCTATATTTTGGGGCTATAGAGGGTAATTGTGCTATATTTTGAGGGGACTTGGCATCCTTGAGCCCCCCTCACCCATATAACTAAGTTTAGAAAATGTTAAGGTCATATTTTCCACTACTAGAAGGCATAAGGACACTTTTTAAATAAAGAGAAGGATTTTTAAAAAGTTAAATCCATTTTTCAGTTTACAAAAACCCGCAGTAGCAATCTTTACAGTACCAAACTACTATTGTAAAATTAAAAAAAAATACATACAAATTAGCCCCTTTAACTCCTCCCTCCTGAGAATGCAACTCTTGGATTCCTGGGAAGTGTGGAAAATGACACTTGGCCCTGTTGTGATTACCTACCCTAACAAATGCATATTCAAAATCAGTTATCTTACTCAAAATACATGAGTACCTGTTTTTAAAATATGAAGCAATATTGTATAAGGAGATATTGCAATAGTTTGCAGTTTTGTTAAGATTGGAGTAATATTTATTCAGTAGAAGGTGAGTAAGAAAGACTGACAGAAGGAGAAAATTCACAAGGTTACATATGTATACATCTCCATAGAAAAAGTGCTAGCCTCTATTGCAGCAGTGTTCTCAAATACGTATTTCATTTTTATTGTAAGAATAATTATTCACTTATATCAGAGAAAATACACCAAGATCCATTGCATGCTTTGATAAAAAGAGCTAATGGAATATGGACTTCCCTTATGGTGCCAAAAAGCCTGTTCCAGAAAGTTACCAACTCGTATTATGATATTTTAAAGATATACAGGGAGGTTTCCATGGAGAGGGAGCATTGTTGATCCTCATGGAAACAGTGGGATCTAGCAGATGTACACTACTAGATTCTGAACAACATGTCTACTTCTTTTTAAAAAAGTGGGGGGAGAGAGATAATTAAAGAGAGGCCAGTGCTTTTCACCCTCACCTTAGGACCTCATGGGTTGGAAACACCATGGGCAGGTAGCTGGAATCCCCTGAGTGAGCTGTGGCTGGGAAACCTCTCCCCTTGCCACATGGAGTCGATCCAAAAATTATTTCAAGTAAGCTTTCAGTTTAGATTTCCATAAAACTCCATATACCAAGAAAAGGCTCCAGGACAAGCAATAGTTATGGGTTCATAGAGCTAGTATACACTTGGTTATAAGCCAATGCAGATGTACAGATACAATGATCACTTCAGACCTCCTGCCATCTCTAAGATGATGTGACAGGATATGTTAGCAGCTATATGAATCTGAATTTTTACCACAGTGCAGTAACAAAAATAGGACAATGAACTAGATTAAGGCCTAAATCCAATTATTAGTCACAACTGCAGTAGATTCATTGAAACAATGGAATCTACATAAATGACTGATGAGATTAGTCTACACCAGATGGGGCTAACAGAATTAGCCTAATTCTTGGAATATTATAATAAAACAACTTCATAGGATTATACATCCTCTTCCAGAATAACAGTAGAATTATCCAGCAACTGTTTCAACTACATTTCATGACAGAATATGAAAGCCAATCTCTCTTTCGTTGTGTGAGAACATATTTACAACAGATCAGTCTATTGAATTCATTATTCACATGCATTATTCACATTTGCTTCAATCAGTCTATGCTCTGAGTGAGGAAGAACACTTATTTCTTATTTGCCACAATATAATAAAAATATATACTTGCAACTGAATAAATATATATTTTAAACCAAATGTTTAGTAATCATGATGGAAATAAATAATCACCCTTCTTACCTTTCATTCCAAACTTGGAGTGCCTTCCAAACTTGAGAATAATAAGCATAATTACTAAGCCAGTGCACACTAATGCTGCAATCCCCACTACAACATAGACCTAAGGGAGGGAAAAATAAAAAACATTAAACTGAGTATTTCACAGCGGGTGAACTTCGAACATTAGCATTGTTATGATAATCACAGTGGAAGATGTTTTTAAATTCTAAGTTTGAAATAAATGTGTCAGTTTCACTTTCTCCCATATTCTAATTTTTTAAATTTCTTCAGAACATAAGTAGAGTCATGCTTAATCAAACAAGGTTCTATCTAGTTCAATATTTTGTTCACATAGTGGCCAAACAGCTGCCTGCAGGAGACCTAACAGGATATGTGCAAAACTGCATCTTGTATCTCACATTCCTCAAACAACAAATGCACAGAGGCTCTTCGCCTGTAATACTGGATACTAGTGGCCACTGATAGTGTCAAAATCCATTAATTTATGTAACACCCAATCACATTCATCTGACTTGCCACACATTTAATTACATCTCATGGCTGTGAATTCCACAGTTCAAATATGCACTGTGTGACAAAGTACCTCCTTTTATCTGTCCTGAATCTCCCATCAACCAGCTTCACTCGTTGATCCTGGGTTGTCGCATTTTGAGAGAGATAAATGTTTAACCATTCCTATTTTTTCATCATGATGTGACCTATCTTGAGTTTCCATACTGCACCTAACTGTATGCACTTCCATTATGTTATATACATCAAGTTCTTTCCAACGTCAATATGAAGAAATTTGCAAATATGGGTGAACTGTTACAAAAACCAAATTGAAATGAAATTCCTGCCTGTCTGAAGTAAGAAGTTTACTTTACTTAGCCGTTTAGTCATTTAAATTATTTGGATATTCACTGGAAATATAAGTTGAGGTTAGTTGCACTTTTCATGCCAAAGAAAATAAAACAAAATATTCCAAACTATAAACGGGAGTTGGATTCATACAACTTCAAAGCCACAACTCAGTCATGTCAGCAGAACAGTAACTGTATGAATCCAATTATGCAAATTGTGGTTTGTCTACAATACACCAGTTTGCGCAAACAACATTTTTTCCCCACATTATACAAATGCTGGCTAAAAGCTCCAAGGTATGGTCAAGGTGGTATCTTGTTACAAGCTAAAATACCACAAAATCATCAGATGCCTAGTCAGAAAGTCTGCTGAGATTATAAACCAGGAACTATGTATATACTGTACTTACAGTGATGCTATCTTCATTTTCTTTGTTAGAAACATCCGTAGAAGTAACTGGATTACTATTATTGGTGGTATCTTCAAAATCATTTGACGGTGTTCCATAATCTTCTAAGAAAAAGAATGCATTATTTATTTACTTCCCCCCCTTTTTTGTGTCTCTATTAAATGCAATAAACAGAGGAAATGAACACTTGCAATAATTTTAGTCTACATTGTTCAGCTCTGTCTCTATTCTGGTTTTCTGCTAGACATCAAGAAAGTCAAAACCTACGTGCCCCGACTCCTCAATGAATGCTTTGTGATTTGAAAAGTCAAATAATCTGTTCCTCAGTTCATTAAAAACTGAGAACATTAATACAGAATGTAAGGGTCAAAGGCATTTTAAAGAGACCCTTTTATTGCTATCTATATAGCATTATTAACATTTGTGAAATGTTGAGACCCATAGTCAGATATCTTGAGCTGGAATAAGCATAACTTTGGGTATAATATGACTACTATTATGGTTACAAAACCTTTTATTTATTAAGAAATAAAATATTCCCTACAGCCTCCACCTGGAAATAATGTGTGCAGGCAGGGCAAATACAGCCCAGTGAAATCATTGTCTAGCTTGTCCCTTTTCTTCTCTGGTGCTACTGGAACATTTACTTTAAAGATCCTCTAACAGAGTCTAACATTTCTTTATGCAAAAGGTGACTTTTGATTTGGAAGGCTCAACTTATCGCTGCCTGGCCAATGGCTTAAAAAATACTGGGAACAGAAAAACAAGGCCTGCAGTAAGAGATACAGGACAGGAGAAATCAAGTTGTCACCTTGAAGACCTTATATGTAGATAAGGAGGACCTTTGGTGAAGAGAGCGAAAAATAAGATTCACCTACCTCATAATGGTGAAAAATAAGATTCACCTACCTCATAATGAGCAGAAAAGTTCTGCTTCTAGAAGCAGAAATCCCTGTTCAACTGTTAAACCTGGATCCATATAGGGTTCAATGTGTAGTGGAGAGATGAAGATGCATGTAAGCTTTACCTACAATGTCTCCTCACTTGGGTGTCTTTCAAAGATCTTGCAATGCCCCTGGCAGAATTTTGGATCATGGGACATCTATAAGCACACTCAGCTGAAAGCACTTAACAGCTTCCACCGCAGATTTTGGCATTAAACATATTAAAGCTGGTGAGATTTCTGAATAAGGCAAGGATCTACCCAGCTATGCTTACATACACAACCCCATCCATACTACCCACTGACCACCAAAAGAATTCAGGTTTAATGCTTGAGCACTAAAATCTGGTGCACAATGAAGTACAGCATAATAGCTGTCTGCACACAATAGATGTCTTGTGGACTATCTGCTCTTTCTCATCTAATGGATTTGTAAGAAATCAACACCAACTAACAAGCCAGCAGAGAATATTTCTTGTTATCTGCACATATAACTCTTAGCTAATTCTGATCTTTGTTTCGTGTTAAATTTCTAACAATTCCATGGGAAGAAGATATTCATACAAAATGTAAATTAGTTATTCTACCTTACTTCATTCAGCACCAAACGTTCACTTCTTTATTGATTTGGTGCTAATTCCACCCCTCGCCTGAGGTCACCAAAAACCTGAGCAGCAATCACTTCAGGACATCATCATGAATGGCATATGAAGGGATATACTGAGTATCATAGAATGGCTGGACCCTAGCTCTTGACTTTGCTGATCATTCTTTTTTCAACTGAGCTCTTGAAAATCCTACTTCCTGTCACAGTTAAGTAGTAAGACTGGAGACTGGTGAAGAGTTCCTTTAGTGCAGGAAGATGCTTTTAGCCAGAATTTAACCTTAGTGTTGAATATCAACCTTTTTATGTTTTAAAATGCAAACACAAAATAACAGCTTATAGCTCTTTATAATTGCACACTATTAGACGCTCACTTGCTTAGTAAGCCAATTTTCTTGAGCAATACTGTACAAGAAACAAGGTGCAACTAATGTTTCATGACACAGAGGTATTGGGTAAATAAATAGATGGAGCTGAGCTGGCTGCATAGTGATTTAAGGATGTGGCTGTGGAGCCACAGTTTGCAAATATGATCCCCCTCCATGCCTCCTGCAAGTAAAGCTAGCCTGTGTGACTGTGGGAAAGTTGCACAGTCGCAGGGCGCCCCAGAAGAAGGGAATGGTATACTACTTCTGAGTATTCTCTACCTGGAAAACCCTGAAAAGGGTCACTATAAGTCAGAACTGACTTGACAGCACAGGATGATGATAATGATGATGATGATATTAATAGAGATATTGCCCCTTTCTTGCTTTTGGATTATGTACAAGAACCACATGGTCCTTTTGATGACACAGCAATACTATTGTTACAAAATATTTATATTTGCGTATAACGCTAAGCTGGGATTTAGTGCTGTACGGATGAACCTATATAAAGTTCACAGATAAACTTCAGGCTTGCATTTTTCTCTGTTTCTCTCTCCTCCATCAATGTGGTTGGAGGGAAGACATGAATTCATTTACCAGTTCTACAATTCTTCATTCGTCTTTACATATGAACTAGAGCTTGGAAAAACTATGTTTTCCATACCATTCCTCCTATATTTCCATATGTTGGCTGCAGTATTCTAGGAGCTGTAGTGCAAAAAAGTAACTTTCCAAACTATGATTTAAAATATTTTTTAAAAAAACTCTGGGTTAAAAAACATATTTTGGTCTATTGCTAAATAAGCAAACTAGAAACCATGGATAATTTTAATACTATGTTTAGCTAACCATGGAGTAACTAACCAGACAGTATCTTTTAACCCAGATATTGTAGGAATAGGAACTGAGTCTTGATTAAGTGCTCCTCCCTGCAACATGGGAACAAGAAAGAGGAAGGCAACTTGGGCTCACAAGACTCATCCATATTAGAATAAAACAGTCCTATCTGTTGGGGTTCCAAGTTGGATGTTTTGCACTGCACAGCCCACATTATATCCAGTTAGTAGGGCCAACAGCCATGTCAAAAGGGTTGACAGACGTTTTATTTTAACACATCTGGAGGGGCACCAGGTTCAATAATGTCAAATTTAATTAGTGGTTAGTGTTACATCCAGAATCAGCCTCTATTTTCACAATTCAGATTTCATGACCATTCAGTAATACAATGTTAAGCATCTGAAGTGTAAAACGATGGAACATGTTATTGTTAAAATGTACATAACTGTCACAGAAACATTGTTTAAGATGGACTTTTCAATCTTGTCATCTTATTTGTAGTTTTTGTTTTTAATCAATGATATTTTGGTGTAATTACAACAGCATAATATCTTGCTGAAGAACATTTATTTATTATCAGCTCTGGCTACACACAAACTTAAAAATGTGGTTTAATAAGTTTATGTGTAGGACTGACATATTCAACAAATATCATTCAATTTAAGAACATTTCTCATTTTTATTATCAATTTTATATGTTCAACCTTTTTTAAAAAAATCTTGTTTTAAGTTTTATATGAAGATATAACAAAATAAAACAGTGCAACAGTGGGCAAAATCCTCTTCTGCAACAGTACATCACCCCACAATGAATATATTAAATTAATTGAAAGCCCATTATCCGCCTCCTTTCAGGTTCCAGGGCTCTCTGGGGCTCCCTTTTGCCCTGGGGAAGCCTTTGGGAGCTTTGGAATGGAGGTGTAACCTTTAATAGATTGATTTGCTGGCAGTCTTGAGGTATTATAGGCTGCCCCCTCCCATCCAAAGACCCCAAAAGCTTCCACACAGAAAAAAAGGAGCTGTAGAGAGCTTCAGAACCTGAAAGGGGGGGGGATAGGAATTGTATTCGTGAAGGCTTTCACAGCCAGGATTTAATGGTTGTTGTGGGTTTTTCTGGCTCTTTGGCCGTGTTCTGAAGGTTGTTCTTCCTAACGTTTCACCAGTCTCTGTGGCCAGCATCTTCAGAGAACAGGTGTAGCAATTTAAATTAAATATTTCCATTGCAATTAATTTAAATAAAATATTTCCATTGCTGGATGATGATGTCGTCTCAGTTTTGTTGTTTGAGTTACACCAAGAGGATTATGGCCAATATTACCAAAATGATTATACTAACAAAACAGAAATAAAACTGTCAAAATCCTGCTGTATCTAAATGATAAATATTTCTTAAAAAACAGAAATAAAGGGAAGTAACTGATACATTTTTAAAAATTCTGAAACCTTGTTGGGCATAAGACAAATTCCAGTGTCAGTGGTGATACTTTTTATTATACCAGTTAAAAAAATACCATGAAAATTCCTGTGCAAATTTTGAATTTAAAACATCTTCCATCATGCATAAAATTATTACAAAAAGGGGCACGCGGCTTAACATTAAAGCAGAATAGCTGGTTGTTTAAATATTTACAGGGCAGAAACTGCACACTGAAATTTCTGCTATCTGCTGCTTTTTCCACCTCATGCCTTATGTCTTTAGACCACATTAAAACTGTTTTAACACAGAGCCATAACTGTATCCTAGTGCTTAAATGGGGAACACAAGGGAACTGATTTAAGGATCACATTCGTTCCTGCAAGCTCTCCAGTATGTGTCCATTTATATTCTCACCACAAGATTGGTTGTGCAACTAACTAGTCATTTGATGGGAAGTCTGTGAGAGTGGTAAAGTGTTTACACAAGTTACCCCTCTACTCTATTTTTAAGCAATACGATCTTGACTGTTGGTTCTAATCGAGTTGAGCCTAATAATTGGATTTAGCTCCAAGATACAACTCTATTCATATCTACTGAAAAGTCTTATTGAACTGAACGGAACTCCCAGTTAAGTGAGTGCATAATTTGCACCCTCATGACTAAACCCAACATACCACTGGGAGAACTTTGGGAACTTTCTGTTACTCTCCTTTCCTCCCTGCAGACCCGAAAGCCACAACTCTCCACTGCTGGTTGAAGTACACACAGGACGGGGGTGGGGGTGGGAATACCTGCTTCTAGTTCTGCTGGATTCCACTGCTCCTTAACTACAGGATGCTGCTTTTAACATTGTATACCCAAGTTTTGATTCCTAACCCAGGTGTTCTTGGGCTGCAGTTCCTAGAAACGTTCACCACCAACTGTGATGGACAGGAGTTTCTGGGAGTTTCAGTCAAAGAACACCTGAATTGCCCAAGGTTGAAAACCACTGCTATGTGGGAATAGAGGTAAAACTACCATATAAGATGGCAAAGAAAAGAAGTAAAGAGTATGAAGCACTCTGTAATTCAAAATGTACTATGAGTAACAGTATAATTCACAGTGACAAATGGTTCAATTGATAAAGCCTCTCAAATGTTTGTTACCCCACTCCTCAGACGTGGGGTGGAGTAGAAAGATATCAACCTTTTTTAAAAAAGCAACACTTCATTTCTTTAATTGCCTAAGAAGGTGTTTCTTTTAAAATCATAAATAAGCAGGGAAACAATCCAATTGTATTCTTCAACCCTTATATGCAGGATAAGAATTTAATTCTAAAGAGAGGCTGAGTAGAGAGTGATAACCTTCCTTCATCTGCTATCACAGACATGATCAAGCTCCTACAAGCTAATTTATAAGCAAAAAATAAACCATTTTTCAGCCAGGTGGCACACATTTAGTATATCTTCTCGTTTAAGAGATGTAGAAAGTAATGTATTAGAAAAATAAGTGTATCAGTTCCATAAATTTCAATGGAAGAGCAAGCTATATGCTGAGGTTTCTCTCACTAACATAAATTATGTTTAAAATGCTTAACACTAGTCAGATCATGCCTATAATGAACAATTGTAAAGGTTGTAACATAGCATCCAAATTAAGCACTGCTAAGCATAAAAGTCCATCTTTCACTTGCTTCAGTTATTTTATCCATTAGACATTTTGCATGGTTACTGAAACATTTAGATATAAAAAGAAAAGAAAATATACCACTATAACCGGGATGATCATAGAATGGACTACCTAAACAACAAAAAGAGAAAAAGATATGGTTAAGTCACAAAATAGTAACTAGCCAATTAGCTTTTAAACCTGTCAGCTAATATGACATTAAATCCGCAAGCCTAAATTATACAGACCAGTGGTTCTCACCTCTGTCTTTCCAGGTATTTCAGACTTCAGTTCCCAGAAACCTCCATCAGCATGCTGAATAATCAGGAAATCTGGGAGTGGAAGTCCAAAACGTCTGGTAGGTCAAAACTTAAGAACCACTAGTATAGGCTTCATAAGTAATAAATGTTTCCGGAGAAGCGCAAACAAGTATGTGCTTCATAATCTCCCCATCCCATCCTGCACAAGGACAATACACACAGATGAATTTATTTCTCTCATGTTATGTGTTGGAAATAACTATGATAGGATTTATGCTATACCCATGGGGCAATATTGGACTTGACACAAATGCGCTTCCAGCTCAATAAGACTTTCCTGTCTTCTCCTTTCTTCATCTCTGGGCAGTATCTCAGCCCTTTGGGGAAAATCTGGGGGCTGCAAGAGAGAACATCCGCTTTTCTGACAAATGCCATTAACAGGCACAAAAGAGATTTCTCCTAAATCTCAGACTGCACTTCTAGGAGTATTAGTCAATTCAGTAGTACTCACTATTAATAATATTAGTTAATATTATTATTATTATTTATTTGATTTATACCCCGCCTATCTGGGCGACTAATTAGTTATTAGTTATTCATAAATAATCTGGAGACAGGGATAAGCCGTGAGGTGGCCAAGTTTGCAGATGACATGAAGCTTTTCCAGGTGGTGAAGACCAGAAGGGATTGTGAAGAGCTCCAGGAGGATCTCTCCAAGCTGGGAAAATGGCAAATGTGTTTCAATATAAGAAAATGTAAAAAAAATGCACGTTGGGGCAAAAATTCAAACCTTTAGTTATCAGCTAATGGGTTCTGAGCTGTCCGTGATGGATCAGGAAAGAGATCTTGGTGTGCTGGTGGACAGCTCAATGAAAGTATCAACCCAGCGTGTGGTAGCAGTGAAGAAGGCCAATTCCATGTTAGGTACAATTAAAAAGGGGACTGAAAACAAAACAGCCAACATTATAATGCCATTGAACAAAATGCTGGTAAGGCTGCACCTAGAGTACTGCATACAGTTCTGATCCCCACACCTCAAAAAAGACATAGTAGAACTGGAAAAGGTGCAGAAGAGAGCAACTAAAATGATGACCAGGCTAGGGCACCTCCCTTATGAGGAAACTCTTACAGTGTTTGGGGCTCTTTAGTCTAGAGAAAAGATGCCTGAGTGGGGGTCATGACTTTGACATGTAAAATTATACCGGGAGTGGATAAAATGGATAGAGGGAAGTTCTGTTCCCTCTCATGCAATACCAGAACCAGAGGACATCCACTCAAGTTGAGAGTTGGGAGAGTGAGAAAAGACAAAAGATTTTTTTACCCAGCAGGTTGTTAGTCTGTGGAACTCCTTGCCACAGGATGTGGTGATGGCATCTGGCCTAGATGCCTTTAAAAAGGGATTGGAGAGATTCCTGGAGGAAAAGTCCATTAAAGGTTACAAGCCATGATGGGAATGTATAATCTCCAGCCTTAAAAAGAAGGTGCCTCAAAATGCCAGATGCAGGGGAGGGGTACCAGGAGACAGGTATCTAGTGGTCTTGTGTGCTCCCAGAGGACTCTGGTGGGGCCACTGTGAGATACAGGAAGCTGGACTAGATGGGCCCTTGGCCTGATCCAGCAGGGCTCTTCTTATGTTCTTATAAATATGTGTGTGTTAAATGTACCCAATATAAAGTATTCTGTTTTTTTACATTTCATATTTCCCTTGCAAAGTGTGATTTTTCTGCCACTAATTGACATCAGTGATACTCAGTATTTTCTTTTCTCTGTGTAAATAAGACTGAGTGAATCTGAAGTTTGACTTTTTCTCCTTCTTCCATTACAATGATAGAAAGAAATATTTCTTTAGCAGTACTTCAGGAAATCTGCCATTTGTGTGATAATTTGCTTCTTTATTGGCAATGAAAGAGTGAATGTGAGGGGACTAAAGATTGCAAGGTTAGTATTAGTACAGTTTTGTAACTCAAATTCTTATCCCTACCACCCAGAAAATTGCCCTCTTACATGCTGTTCCAGCTCAGGTGGAATGTATTGTAATTCTGTTTGAATTATAATAAGTCATTTCTAATTTTGTTTCTATAGATGTGCTAAAAATTAGCATATGCTGTTTTTTTGTGTACCCTTTTAGATTGATGCTTAATGTGTAGATGGGCCAACTAGAGTGCAGAGGAGAGGAAAGAAAATGAAACTGGCTAGTTGGATTCCTCCAACCTTTTTTTCTTGACATCTGGGAGAGGTGGTGAAACCTCCCCCTCAACCTCTGCAATGAGAAATGTCTTGAAAATAGCCATGGCGTTGAACAGTTTTGACTCCTGTCTCTGAGGGAACCTGGGCCAGTTTCCAATATGGAGCCAGCATGAGTTCTAAGAGAGGTGCTTCTTAAATTTGCTTTGTCTCCCACACACTCTGCCAAATGCTAGGCCTTGGTGCAAAAGCAATCATGTTACTACTGCTATAGAGTCAAGGCTTACATAAGGAAATGACCCAGTTTACCTCAGAGACTTCCAGCCTTCAGGAATGGAGTCAGATTTCACCAGACCTGACAGAAGCCCTTCCCATTTGTTCTTCAGGCTAAAAACAACAAGTAGGAAACCGACACTCGTGTATTTTATAAAGTATACTTTTCACTGTGCTCTTGCACAGTGGTATTATGCACTATTTGTGCATTCTAGATTTTGCAGTATCACTTATTACATGACATGCCACTCTCCATGGGTTCCAAAGAAAAGACAGACACCTGTGATGTCACTCAAAGCAATGTCCATGCTAACTGCTGCCGCCTTGGGAAGGGGGCATGGCCAAGTTGGAACGTCTACTCTTGATTTTAAGCTACAAACAAATAGATACCGGTTAACTATAATAGCCTGAGACAACTGTTTAAAATAGAAAAGAAAAGAAAATCCCTTTTAAATCAGGTACATATTAATTCAGTTCTCAACATTCAAACAATCAGGTTTAGAATTTTGAATTTAGGTTCTAATCTGTAGAACATGTTTGGACCAGAGACCTGTTAATGTACAAACTTGCAAAAACCTATGGAACTACAATACTGAAGTACTGTATAACAGAACTCTACTCCACTCATAGCAAAATATGTACCTTCCAAATTTATTTGTTTTTCAAAACTGCTCTAGATGCTAAATATCCGAAGACCGCAGAAGATAATTTGGGTAATCAAAACTGTAGTCTACTATCCTCCCAGTGGTCCTCAACCTTGGGTAACCCAGGTATTCTTGGACAGTAACTCCCAGAAACCCTGGCCAGCACAGCTGGCAGTGAAGGCTTATAGGAACTGCATTCCAAGAACACCTAGGTTACCCTCGGTTGGGAACCACTGCGTTACCTGTTAAGACTGCTGTTACATGAGAAGAGATTTGTTTCCATATATTTTCCTCAGGAAAAACAACCATGCAAATTCTATACAGACTTAGTTATACCCACAGACATAATGAATTTGGTGAGACTAAAGCTGATTTCCATGACATGACTTGGCTTGAATACAGCATGTTGTGTTTGCATCCTTCTTGGCTGATATAAGCTGTACATACAGTATGCTCCCTGTTTTAATAATCTATTTAGTATTTTACGAGAAAAAATGCCTATCAGTATGGGGTGGAGACAAAGCCATTGTATGTTTATGAGGTGCCTATGTGGAAATCTTCAATGAGCTTGCTTGGGAGACTCTGGGTTGCCTACCTGTGAGATCTGCCTCATCTGGGTTTGGGAACCAGCATTCCAGGTAGTGCTCTGTGGAGGAAGAGCTCTGTAAGCTTGCTTACAAGACACTGTTGTGCCTACCTTGTATGATTTGTACCACCTAGTCTTAAGAAGGGATGTGGCCCTGCAGGTTTTTTCAGAAATCAGCAGCCCAAGAGCCACTTTATGCCTGCAAGGATAACATTTGCAAGACTGCCTGTAATGCCTGTTTGCACAGTATCTTACCCTGCATGAGAAGAAATATGGATGTGCAAGTTTTTTTTTAAGCTGACAGGGCATTGCCTGCCTGGTGCCAGTGAATCCACTGGGGCCAACTATAAAGCATATAATTGTAGGCCCACTTGTCTTAAAGAAAAGAGGCATTCCTCTAATACTTTTGCACATACATCAATTATTGGCATATCTCCATGAACTTGGAGTATCCATCTGGTCCTTGTTTTCCTCTATTGACCTGAACATCCTCCTCTTTGACTCACTACATATTATGGCCAAAGATCCATAATATGAGACATTTCAGCCTGCAGTATTTAGACCAACTTGACCCTTACTTTTTTGCTTTTTACTCATTATGGATTAAAAAAACAACCTCAAACCACACCCAGAAGTGCAAAATAAAGTATGGCTGATGAACTGCCCGAAGGCTGGGATGAGGAATTATGATGCTGGACAGGAAAGTGAAGCCAGTTGATGTGCCTCTCCTACTTCTGTAGAGATGGTCCACCTTCTTTTGCTAATATTTTCAAGTTAGTCCCCAAACTGTTTCAATTTTTGAAATAAAATAAACAATCCATGCCTTTAGAGTTTTGGACCTATTGTTCCAAGAAAATAAGATCTAGGCATTTTCTGTTTCAGCCCCAGACAGAAACTCCACAAAAGGCAACACTGGGGACTGCATCAAGCTCTATTCTTCTTTTAATGGTTCATTGCTTTTCAACATTTTTATTTCATTTATTTAAAAAATAGTTTTTAAAAATTTGTTTTTATTATTATTATTTTTTTAAAAAATATTTTTTTGTATCCAAAAGCCCTGGTGAAATAATTAGAAATAGCATCTCTTTCAGAATTCAACTTGCTGGATTTTTCCCATTGCTTCCAGAACTCAACTAGCTTCTGTGACATAGGATGTGACCTGGTTTCCTGATCATCAATTGTTTTTTCAAGAATTTTGAAATTAAGTGTGGGCCATTGTGACAAAAACTCTGCTGTAAATCCCAAGTAAGTAATGAAAGGAAACTATTATGCTCAGAGAGAAGATCCCTCTTTATATCTGAGGGCATACATACTTTCTGCTAACTCTATGTGATTGATAATCTTGTCTGTGAAATTTTAAAAAAAGACACAGTAATTATTAACAAAAATCACCTTCTTTCATAACTATGTATGCATGTATTTTCATTCCCTATTTCTATCAAATCTGGTACTCTGTGTCAACAATGCAACAAACAGTTGCACACCCTCCCAAGAAGACATGCAAGATTCTTCTGTATATTAAGAAAGTTCTCCGCTCATTTAGAAAAAAAATATTACCTTGTTTTTTAAAAAAATTAAAAGGCAAAAGGAAAATTAAAAAAAAAGTTTCCTTAATGTCTATGTATAGTATACACTAGAAATGGTTAAAAGCTCTGGCACTGACATTAAGAAGGGGAGGCACTTGGCTCCACAGAGTCTAATTTCCTTCCTTTAGCAGAGAAATAAAAGCAACTTCACTAGACAGTGTAGGAAGATGGGATAATGTTCCAATTTCATCTATACTCCTCTGGTCAGGCACTGCTTGCATAGCTCACTCTACATCTGGCTCTTCCAACAAGATTGCTGAGGGCATCTTTTTACTTTGTCCTATAACCAATACCATACTTAGGATATATGCTCATAACTACCTTTCTAAGTCATGTTAGCATGTAATATTAGAGTGTACTGAAGAAATAAAACATTGCTAGTACCTGTCTTTACGAATGCTAGTTGTCTAGGGCAGCCACTCTCAACCTTATTTTGGCCACAATATGAAAGAAATATAAGCTGAATCAGGACTATGTAAGTCACATAATGAACCTTTCAAGGCAGTGTGTGAAGAATTGTTTCCAGTCTGTGCCCCCCTTAAAAAGTCCCAGGGTCCCCCACGGGGCTATATGGCTCCTGTTTGAGAATGGCTGGGCATATTATTACTCTTAATTGTTCACAAAAAAATGGCAAGCCAAATCAGGACTATGTAAGTCACATAATGAACCTTTCAAGGCAGTGTGTGAAGAATTGTTTCCAGTCTGTGCCCCCCTTAAAAAGTCCCAGGGTCCCCCACGGGGCTACATGGCTCCTGTTGAGGATGGCTGGTCTACGGCATATGATTACTCTTAACTGTTCACAAATGGCTCTCAAAATTCTCCACCCAGGTTATCTATAGACAATGCGGCAGTGGTATTCTTTTCATCAAATATCTCCACAGGAAGGGGAATTTCAGCCATTTCTGTTAGGTGGTGCTATGGGAGGTATGAGGGAAGGCATATCTCAAAGAAAAGGCTGAAGCCACATCTGCATCTCAATTTCTCCTCAAATTTATCAAATTAATTTCCTACAAAAGGATTTTTCTTTTTCATTCTCAGGACACATTAAAAGTTATTTTCATAACATTTTTGAAGCTACTATAAAATTTCATGGTGGCTGAGGACACTGGGTTTGTTTTTCCTTTCTTTCTACTGTTCAGCATACTGCAACTGCAAGAGCATACTCTTTTGGCTGCCCACATTTGCTAATCTGAAAAACCCTTGCGGGAAGAGTTACCTTATCTTCTCCAGGGTTTTAATTTAACAGTGTAAAGCTGAGAAGGCTGCTAGCTATCTCAGAGATTACTATACAATGAAAGAGAGAACGTCCATCTGCCCTCCTACCTCATGACTAAAGTAAGCCGGACAATCCTGAACCTCACTCATGAGAATTTCTCCAAATTTTCTCCTCATTTGAAATTCTTTTCAAACAGAATTTCTTGCCTATTAAACTGAATGAAAGTGACTGAAGTTAGTGTGCATTACAATCTTTAAGAGAAACACTTGTATCACTGATCTTCAAGGGTTCATATAATGATGAAGATTCCTTACTGTATTTTACCATAGTGAAGGGCTGGTGTTAACTGCTGGACCGAATCCTTCTTACCAGAGGTGGCATGAAGGAGATTCTGAAAAGTTCCGAATGCAATTATCTGTATTTTGTTGCTTCTAAATCTGTTTTGTAGTTTACTTTTTGTTTGTTTAATTTTTATACCACCAATCTAGCAAATTGCTACTCTGGGTGGTGTACAGAAAGTAAAGCATAAATAAATAAATAAATAAATAAATAAATAAATAAATAAATAAATAAATAAATAAATAAATAAGTTAAGAAAGTAAGTAAGTAAGTAAGTTAAGTAAGTAGTTTGTTACACAGCCTTTTCGGCTGCAATCCCGTCTACATTTACATGTGAGTAAGAAACACTGAATTCAGTGAGGCTGATTTCTGACTACATATTTATATATAAAATGGGATTTTACTAATATCCATCTTTGGCTGAAACCCTGCTGTTTAGCATAGTAACTTGCAAGTAAAGTAGGTCTGTTTGAATCAATGGAGGAGCTGATTGACTTTTTCTAGTGCAATTTACTATGATAAGCAGCAGAATTTCAGCCACTCTGTATCTAACACTGATCCAATGAGACTACACTAGTACAACTTACTATGCTATACAACTGGATTTCAGCCTTTGTTTCTGCCTTCAAGGTATCTGCCAGTAAACCATATAGCACCATAAAGTCAATTCTGATCTCAAGAAGGATATCTTTTCCTTAAACTTCCACTGTGACCATTTATGCTCACACACAGGCATGGAAATAAATATAATACCAGGATGTGGGTCTGATCCTTATGCTTCATTGTACATACAATTTACAATCACAATTCAGAGTAACAATAACCATCAAAGTCATGTTAAGGCTCCAAGAGACATCTGTATTTATCTTACATAATAATGTAAGCCATGAATATAGTCACAGCAGATTTTTTCTTTTTGTGTGTGTCTTTCTATGTGTGATGAAGGGAAATGAATAGAAAGTGAAAAATCTATATTACACATTCAACAATATTCTAAGACAGAAACTATTTTGGAGTTGTTTTGACAGTAAATAAACTTTAATCCTAATACTTGTTAAAAAAAATAATTGTTCACTTAGAGAGTGAAGCAAGCTTCTATGGTTTCACATATTTGATTCTGGCTGTTCTAACATGCCAGTAGTCTCTTGGGGTTTGAAAGCTCAGCCTTCGTTCAGCCGGAAATGTCAACTAAGCAAGCCTCAAACCCAGAACCTTTCTAAGGTACTTGAAAAGAACAAGAAAAGAAACAGAAAACAGTCCCTTATGAAATTTAATTAGCCTACTGTAGTTTCTTAGCCAGCAATACTTTAAATACGCCCACTTCTACTCAAGTAAAGAAGATTTAATTGGTCTTAGTAGCACTTCCCTAGCACTGGGCTCCAGACCAAGGGTTTTGTATTGTTTGTTACACAAGGTCACTTTGCATTTCCTGGGAAATCTCCAATTAATTTGTTTGCAAAGTTTCTACTACTGACAGAGTAACTGGCAATCTGGGTCCATTTAGAAAACATAGGAAGGTTTTAATTTTTTCACTGCACCATTGGGAAGGTATGAAATACTGTATGAAGTGCAATTTTCTACCATGGGGTGATGGGAGATAGTTATTGCCATATTGAGGTATTTCAGTGTGCTGCCAATGGGCATCACAAATATATTGTGCCATTTCACTTCTCCATTTCTGTATTTATACTGGCTATTAGCTATACAAACAGAAGCATTTTCCTACAGTTTACAATTTTGTTATGACTTTCAATGAACAAAATGATAAAAGCAGAGATGATGAAATTAGCATCACAGAATAAAATGGCTTGCTTTAATTAAGATCACAAATAGTTGTAATAAATGATTTAAGCTAAAATTATGAAATCTACTCACTTCAAATCTATGGCATTACAGTGGAACCTCTACTTACGAATGTCCCTAGGTACGAACATTTCAAGATGCGAACAGCTCCAGCCACAAAATTTTGCCTCTACTTGCGGCCAGAGCTTCAAGGTATGAATGAGAAAAGGCAGGGGAAAAGGGCAAGAAATTTAAATTTCCTAACCATTGGTGGCAAAGAGGCTGATTCTTTCCAGCTCTTTCACCCCAATGGTTAGGAAATTTAAATTTCCTAACCATTGGTGGCGAAGAGGCTGATTCTTTCCAGCTCTTTCACCCCAATGGTTAGGAAAAGGGAGGCTCAGCCTCTTGGGCTTCCAGCACCACCGCACTCAGCGGGTCTACTCATGAGTAAGCACCACCAAATCGCAGGTCTACTTGCAAGTAAGCATTGACGAAGGCCCTGGGCGGGGCTCGTGGACAGGACATGCAGCAATGGCACAGGAGGAAGGAGAAGCTACTGGGTGCAGGTGCTTTGGAAGCCCTGGAAGCTGGCACCCTGTGCAGCGGGTAAGCCCGGAAAGCCTCCGCAGAGTCCTTGGACTGGTAAGGTGCTGCTTTTTCCTTTTAAAAAAGTTCTTCTGGGAGGGTTTTAGAGGGTAGGTTTGGGCTGGGGGGTATGTTTCTGTGTTGTTTTGTTTTTTGGTGATTATTTTTGCAGTTCCAGCGTGGGATTTGCTCCAATGTTTATTTTTGGATTTGTTTTGTTGTTGTTTTTTGTTTTTGTTTTTTTGTTTGTTTGTTTTGCAGTCCCAGCATGGGACTTGCTGTGTTTATTTTCATTTTTTTTCGGTGATTTTTTTCCTTTGGCTGGAACAGATTAATCAGTTATCAATGCATTCATATGGGAAATGGTGCTTCTACTAACAAACATTTCTACTTATGAACACCATTCCAAAATGGATTAAGTTCGTAAGTAGAGGTTCCACTGTATATATTCTCCTGCTACATGGCTCTGTGCCTACATAGGGGAAATGTATCTCTTCAGTTGTGGATAATGATGTAGGCAGGAGAAGGATGAAGGAGAATGCACCCACCCACACCTTTGAAAGGATCCTCTGCCTCTCAGAGTCCTGGTTTAGGGGGCAAAAGTCTGAGATAACAAAGACACTTCACTACACAACAAAACTTCAGCAGCATCGATGGTCCAACATAATCTCACTGTAGTTTACATCTCTATAATTAATATCTAGTACTTCTGACTATTCAGCTATAATTCTTAAAACATAGACATTTATGAGAGACAAGCAGATTTGAAATAAAAGTTAAACAAGCAAACAGCTGAAACTTTCATTGGCCTCAGCAGGTAGTACTGTATAATTACAATCATTATACTTTGCACTATAAAGTGAAGAAGGATATGATTCAGAATAAATATATGATTATATAATTGTATACAAATACAATAAATATCAATCAGTCTTTTTATATTCTCAGAATAGTATGATTTGAGAATACAGAATGACTGATACAATAGATCATATTATTATTCAAAATTAAGGCTAGCATTTCCCCCTCAGATTAAGCATATTACAATCTATGTTTTAATAAGGGATGGATGGGTGTATGGATGGATTTCCCTCACCAAATGGTTGAATACAGAAAAGAAGAGAAAAAAGAAAATGATTTGTTTATCTTAACATTTAGTAACATCATTAAATAAAGTGATGAGAAAAAATGGTCTACATAAACAATGCTTGAATGTATTAGTGTCATATTATTACTCACTACCTCCAGGATCATCCATGAAATAAGCAGAAACATTGGCTTCATCTCTTCCATATGGATTCTCTGCTACCAATGTATAATTTCCATTGTTCACATGGGTGGGGTTGTCCAGCTGAAGGCAGCCATGGTGTTCAGTCTGATTGCTAACATGGATTCTAGTGAAGATAAAAGCTGATTCGTTCAACTTAACCCCGTCATGCAGCCATGTCAGGGTAGGTTGTGGATTTCCTCTCACACTGAACGGGATGCACCAGTGATGGTCCGAATATGGATTTTCAAGAAATGTGATAGTTGGTGGAACTAAATTAAGAACAATAAGAATATCATCAGTATCCCCTGAATTTACCTACTCATAAATTAATCAGTTTATCTTAAATAAGTAAAGCTAACTGGCAGAAAGACAGAATATAAGGATGCAATTAATGAATGAGCTTGGAAAATAAACTTATTTACAAATGTCTGTTAATAAACAAATTCTTTAGAGCAGAGTAGGGAAACCTTTAACCTTCCAGATGTTGGTAGCCTATAAAGCAGGTTATCCATGATGAATGGTCATGTTAGCTGATAGGAGTTGGTCCAAGGCTACCCATCCCTTCTCTAGAGGAAGTTATAACTAAGGTTTATTTATCATATTTTATGATTTCTTTCTTATTTTTTTTTTTACACTGTCTGTTCATACCCTTTGATCACCCCATGTTCCTACGCTATTCATCACTCTGTTTGCTAGACAGAAGCCAGTACTAAATGAGCAGGAATCTACTCCTGTAACGTGACTTGCTTCTTCCCTCCTTCCAAAAGAAGTCTCCTTCCTGATGCCTACCAAAAATCTGCTTTGGTGGCTCATACAACTCTCTAGAAAACATTTTAAAAGTGTGCACATGGCCAGAGGGGCAGACAGAACCAACCTTTCCCCAGTTCAACTGACCAAAATATTTTCATCACCAATCAAAAATATCATTAGATTTCATTCATTCTGCCTAAACTGTCAATTTATCTTTTATTTGCCAAAAACTGATTTTAAATCTATTTTCTAATGAATAGAGTAAATTTTCCATGTAGAAACTACTTAGAAAAGATTCTGACAAAACTAGGTAGTTACATTTTTACAGTAAATACAACTTAGGTCTCTTAAAATTTATTTATTTATTTATTCATTTGATTTATATTCCACCCCATCAGTCCATATGCACTATTTTGGACAGTTCACAATAAGGAAAAGAACAGACATATAACAACAAATGTATAAGTAAACAACAGAAGGAATAAAAAAAATCAAAAATGAAACCAATGGTACGAAAGCACCTTATCCTCTGTGAAAGTCAAGGCAACAGGCATGATATCAAGTAGAGTCATTGTGGAAAATCTTGATTTATGCATGGATTTAGAAGCATAAGGGAGGGAAAGGTGCATGATTTAAAATTTTCTGTGATCATGTTGTAACCATGACTTATGACCAAGAGAAGATGAATTAATTCTCTGCCATAAGCTACAGCAGCTCACATATGCAATAAACACATGGAACAATGGAACAATCTCACAGAAATTTTGTTGCCATGTTCGTATGATAATTACGACAAATATGCATTTTACAATTCTGTATCTTCTGGAAGAAAGCTCAATGAAAAGTTATAAAATTATAGAGTTCATTTTTGCCATTCAGTCAAGACTGTCTGCAAATAAAGTTTTTACATAAAGTTATTTACATACAGAACACCGAAAGATCAACAGAATCTTGGTCTTCGCCCACAGTATTTTCTGCTATACAAGAAATCTGTAGACCACTGTCATTTGATGAGACATTCTTTATAGTTAAAGAAGCAGTGTTCTTATTTGTATGATTCTAGAAGAAAAATAAAGAAATAAATGAATTAGGAGTGCAACTGCTAAGTCCCCTAGCATTTTTGACTATATATTGCCAATGTTGATAATTATCTATATTTAAACACATTATAGAGTATTTTATTCAGTATTAATAAAATAGGTGGCTAAATACAGTTTCTTACCTCAGTTAGAGCTGACTAATTAAACATACAGTAAATAAATTTTGATTTAACAAGTTCCATTAATTGAATGGGGTATTCTAGCTAACATAACAATTGGATTTGGTCCAAAGTGCATGCTAGTTTGAAAACTATATTTTTATTTCTGTTCCAGCTAGGTCTTTCATTCTTCATGAGTGAACTGGCCACCTAGAAAGAACAGGAAGAAACAGATTTGGGAGTCCTAGCAGCAGTCCAGCCATAGCTCTTACTCTACTGGGTCCCATTAGGATAGACCACTCCAGAAGCCTGGTGGATCCAAATGATTTCTTGGGGAATTTCCTGTCACCTCTACAGGTGATCCTGTTGAAGTGTTAGTTGACCTCTGGAATGGGAGAAGGGCTAAGGATGAGATATGAAGCAAGACCTGGTTTAAGGACCCTCAGGTCACAGTGGTTAAACTGCAGCACTGCAGTGAAGACTCTGTTCATCATTTGAGTTCAGTCCTTGGCTCAGGTAGCTGGCTCAAGGTTGACTCAACCTTCCATCCTTCTGAAGCCAGTAAATTGAGTACCAAGCTCAGTGGGGGAGGGAGCAATGTGTAGCCTGCATTATTAAATTGTAAATTGCCCAGAGAGAGCTTTAAGTACTATAGGGTGGCATATAAGCAGCAAATTGTGCTTTGCTTTTGGTTTGCACAAGCAGATTGAATAGGAGGGTGCACCCCACTATGGTTACAACTTGTCTCTGCTGATTTTTTTGTCATTTTAAAAAAACAGCAATGTATCTCTCACTTAAAGAACCATAGCAGCAATGTCCCGTCTAAGCTCCGCGTGCATGCATGCTTGCCCAGAGTCTGTAAGAGTTGCAGACGGCCAACTGGCAGCCAGTTTGCTTCCTTCCCCTTTTGAATGAAGCCCCGCCAACCTCCGTGCACATGGAGCAAGGCTCACATGCAGTGGGACAGAAACTCAGAAGGAACGTTGCATAGCAGTGTTTCATATGATCTTATACTCCCATTTGCCATTGTTCAGATGCAGGTGGACACCTGTCATAATAATTATGCTGTAAGCATGCAAAAGTGAAGCTGGAGATTTGATATTTAGCTGATCTACTATATTGCGCTTCTGCAACATCCAGGGAATAATTAGACAATATTCGAAGATGAGGATGACAAACACACTAATAAAGCAAAAGTCCATTCCATGTTCACTCACAAGCTCTAATTAAATGGCAAGCATCAGGTTTGCTAACATCTTTAAAAATGTATTTTTCATCAAGGAATTTCTACCCAAATTACAAAGAGGATGGGATCATGAAGAAAAGCACCAATTGTCTGAACAGTTGCAACCTCTGTCAGTAGATAGATGGAAGTTGAGTCATGGCAACTGGACTTCTTTCTTGTTAGGTTGAAATGTTTGACTAATCCAAGTAGCTTCTTCAGTCTGAGGAGGGCTGGTAGGAGGTCCCTGATATATGCTCCACATTGGTTTCACTTCCCCCTAATCTAAAAAGGCTCGTTAGAAGAAGAAAGGACTGGGGGGTGAGCAATAATCCCACTTCTGCAGTCCTTCTCTACCCATTGCCTGGGTGGAGACCTCAGAACTGCAGAAGTGGGATTATGTCCTTTGTCCTTTTGATGAGCCTATTCAGACCAGGGGGAAGTGAAACCAATGTGGAGGGTATATCGGGGTCTTCTACCAGCTCTCCTCACACAGAAGAATCTACTTGGATTAGTAGTGAAATATTTCAACCTAACAAGAAAGAAGTCCAGTTGCCATGACTCAGCTTCCAGATAACCACACCTGGATGACTGACAATTTTCACAGACAGAGCCATGTTTGTGCCTGACATTAAAAGACCATCTGCTTTTACTGAACAGCAGTACAAAAGGGACTGAGCACCTACATTTGCCCTGGCTAGCATCAATTGATCACATCAGCCTGGAGAAAGCACATAAGAGAAATACCAAAGGGTGAAGGAAACCAATTCTTCAATCCTTAACTGAGGCTGCACATTGTAAACATACTATTACAGATGCTAGCCAATCAGCAGATGACAGGACTGGATATGAATGTTTGCTGTGACACCTACATGGACTTTAGAGCATCAGATGGTCTTGCAGGAAGCAGACTCATTCTTGAGAAAAGCAGATGCAATCACTGCAGTCAGCACTTTGACATCAGGTTAAATGAGGGACATGGAGTTAGTAAGCAGCACCTCATCATGTGACTTTTAAGAATTTATACAGCTGGACTGGCCCTCAGCCTCACTGGTCTGTGTGCTCTTGAGAAAATGTACACTCCCTCACCAGTTCACAATTAATAATGTCCAGGTTATATTTAACATTATCCTATGCATGAATGTTAGCAGAAATATTGGCAATCAAGAAATTAATTATAGTATAGTGTTCCTCAAAAAAACAGAGAAAGGCCTTGACATATCAACATGTTTTGATATATATTCTTACCTCATATTTTGAAACAATATTACGGAAAACCCAAGCTATACTTGGTGTTGGACTTCCAGTAACATCACAGTATAATGTGATATTCCTTCCTTCAAAAACAGTGAGATTATGTGTGCTAAGTTTAACGGAAGGCAAGCCTGTTAGACAAGGAAAAGATAAATCTCCATGAGGTGATTGTAACAGACATAAGAGATACACTACAGGGATCACAATTATCATAAATTATCAAATTCAGACATATTTTGGCATATAATTGCTTTACAATAAACTGGACATCAATTTGTTTCTTAAAGTAATCTTATAATAGCAGAGAAAACACATCAGCATCACAGAAGCTTGAAATAGCAACTACAATATGTAACTTGTTTTCATTGGCTTAAAACAAGAGTTACCTAGAGCAGTGGTCCCCAACCATTTCTGAACCATGGACAGGTTGGGTTGGGGATGCGGGGCACCCCCTGTGCTCGCGGGTAGGTGGGGTGTGTGCGCAGATGGGTGGGGTGTGTTCGCATGCATGGATGGATGGGCGGAGCATACTTGCAGATGGGCAGGATGTGCTCGCTTGCATGCACAGGTGGGGCATGCTCGTGCAAATGTGTGGTTGGGCGGGGGGCACTTGCACACATTCGTGAGTTGGCAGGGCATGCTTGCGGATGGATGGGGCGTGCTCACACATGCGCAGATGGGTGCAGTGCATTTGCAGGTTGGCAGGGCACCTGTGCGGCGTGAGGGTGGGTGGGGTGCGTGCGGGGAGCATGAGATCTGTTTCCATGGCCCGGTCCTGTCATGACCACAGACGGGCACCAGGCCGTGGTTGGGGACCCCTGGCCTAGAGCATGATCCAATACGTATTCACGATTTCCTATAGTGGGTACAAAAACTCACTGCACATCACTCCAACAGCCCCCTATACTCCTGAAAAATCTGCTTCTGGAGGGATAGAAGATCTTTTTATAACAGTATGTTTTTATTACCCTTTTAAGCTATTATTTTAAATTCTGATGTTATCTCAAGTGATTCAAATTTTGGGCTGGTATGTAAGTAGTCCTAATCTTCTGGATGTGTATGTGTTCATAAAATTCAATTTTGCACACATGCAAAAAATCCTCAAAACTCTTGCAATTTGATCCAACAGAGTGAAAACCTCTGAATTTTTTCATTTGGAACTGGAGGAACAAAGTAAAAATTCACATAACTATGATAAAATTGTCACCTATTTATCTAGGTACAACCCCTAATCGGGAGCTTCCTCTATTATACTGCCATCATTTTAACAGCCTCACAGAGGCTGACATAATGACAAAGGGGGGGGGGGATTTGGTGGTAATACTGTAGCTGTTGAACATGTCACAGAAACAGACAACACAAGGATTGCTGCAGTGTAAACAACAGTATCTGTGATGTAAAGGCACAAAGATGGTTGAGGCAAGGCTACTGTTTAGCACATTTGTTCTCAAACTGGGGTCTCCAGATGTTCTTGGACCACAATTTCCAGAAACCTTCACCACTTGTTGCTGGCAAGGATTTCTGGGAGTTGTAGTCCAAGAACACCTGGACCCAAATTTGAGAATCACTGCTTTAGAATACTAACTTTGTTCCACAGACTATGGGATCCTTTTGGTACAGCTGAAAGCCAATAAGAAAGGCCTTGAAAGAAAAAAGTTCTGAATCTACATGTTTTGTAATTTTGTTTTGAAGAGCTTCTTTCTTTAATCGTATCAGAGGGTTGCACAATTTAAAATTATGGATGTATATCGAAGATAGATACAATTTAAAAAATTAAAATGTTAACATAATTAGACTATTTTTTTAACCAAATGTGGGATACTTCAGTAATGTTCTCTTGGCCATTTGCTGTAGAACCATAGAATCATGAAGTTGGAAAGGGCCTATAAGGCCATCGAGTCCAATCCCCTGCTCAATACAGGAATCCAAATCAAAGTAGATCTGACAGATCTACTGTCAATTTTCTCATGAATGCCTTCAGTGTTGGACCGCTCCCCACCTCCCAAGGTAATTGGTTCCATTGCTATACTGCTATAACAGTTAGAAAGTTTTTCTTGATAGTCAAAATTTTGCTTCCTGTAGTTTGAGCCCATTCTTACATGTCCTGCACTCTGAGATGGTTGAGAACATGGGCACTAGCAACTTCTTAAAACACAATTAAAGATCAAATTCTGAATTAAATCACATATCTGGCAACTCAGCACCAATGTAGCCCTGTTTCTAAAATAACCAGGTAAGCCAAACTAGAGTCTTCAAACTTTGAAAAACATTCCATATTCAGGTGCAAACTAAACTGTGATTTAAACAGGTATTTTCTTGTGTGGATAAAAGATGAAAGCAGAGATTTAACTTTTCATACAAAACGGAGAAGAAGCAAAATCTACCCCTCTCTTACACAACACTTTGCTGCTTTAAACCATCTTGCCTAATGTGAGCTCCACATTTGCCACAGAGTGCAATGAAGTAAGGAAGAGTAGTTTTTGTTCCTTTTACTTGAACTCTTCTGCATAGATTGTTTACTGCCATCATTTTTTTTACAGCAAAGCAGAAAACAGACAAGCATGTGTGTTTGGACCAGAAATACACAGAACATGGCTGAACATACCACATCCTTGGAAAGTCCAGGTCATTTAGTATATTATAGGTATTATTCTTAACTGTCACATAATAATTAATTATGAATTATCTTAAAAAGTATCTACCAAGAAAATTTTACATTCTAAACATCAGTAAGTTATTTTATGTATGTACTGCTTCAAACTACTTAAATAACTACAAGCTGACATCAATTGAGCTTTACAACTGTAAAGTAGCAAATTCTAGCTCATGGATCAGTTGTATCCATATACAGTACTGTATACCATTATGAAGAAGCCTATGGACTAGATGAAACATAACCTTGGAAATATTATATAATTTGTCATTACAGCAAAGGAGGGACAGAAATATCCCCTGACTGATTAGTGTAGTGTTTCAGTTATTCCTGTTAATATGCTTTACAACTGTAAAGTAGCAAATTCTAGCTCATGGATCAGTTGTATCCATATACAGTACTGTATACCATTATGAAGAAGCCTATGGACTAGATGAAACATAACCTTGGAAATATTATATAATTTGTCATTACAGCAAAGGAGGGACAGAAATATCCCCTGACTGATTACTGTAGTGTTTCAGTTATTCCTGTTAATACGCTATCTTATCATCATCATCATCACGAGCTATAACTGAGCACTTCAAGTTTAATAGCAACTAAGTTTTTTAAGCAAGTATTCAACCACCTCAACCATGAAAAGCAGGTAAAGGCAAAATCACCAACTATTTCTATTTCTCACTTCATTGGCTAGCTAACATAAGTAATCTTATCAGAAACCCACAACAGTCTCACTCCATTTCTCAGCAAGTCATTTACTAGGAGCTGACTGATTTAGGCCTTGCACTAATATCACTCATACAATTTTCTATACAATACTAAATTTATACTATGCAGAAATTATTACCACACAAAAATGCAAAACATCTGTCAAAATAAATGAAATACTTTAATTTCCGACATCCTTGCTGCTGCGTCTTCTTTTATAAAGTACAACCCGCTTGCCCTCTTGCAAGTTCACTGAAGTCCAGAAAGAAACAGTGATGAGAAACCTAGTGACAGGGTCAAATAGAGTACATTTTTCCCTATGATGCAGCAATGTTGTTTTTTAAAAAGCCAAAACAAATACTAATGCATCAAAGAAACGGGTGTTTTAATATCTCTTGGGATAGACTTTCTAAACAGAGAAAATGGGTTCAAAAGCAGTCTACTTCCACACAACAGGAGGAAAAAATGAGCAACCACACATTTATTACTGAACATATATTTGTAAGTAAATTTGATTGAATATACCCTACACAGATCTACATAGGAGTATATCTCACTGAGTTCAATGGGACTTACTCTCAGATAGTTATGCACAGCATTCCAGCCTAGGTTTTTCATTCTTCCCAACTAAACTAAAAATAGCTTTATTTTTACTATTACAGTAAATCTTTCCTTTCCAGCAAAAAATAAAAAATAAAAATCTGATGCATTGGTCAAAATCCTGTTGCCTAGATGTGCTGCCATGGAACTGATGGCACCAGTAGCAACAGATTACCCCTATTTAAAGTGTTCCTGTTTCGATTCTGAGTGAAGTCTTGAGAAAGAACTGAAATGGCTTTTTCTTTCTGAGGTCTCTTCAATTTTAACATATAAACAGTGGGCAGGTGTAACATGTCCTTCTGCATGCTAGGTATAGTGCCACTTTTTAAAATCTGTCCAGTACAAATGAGAAAAAAATCTACTTCATTTTTGAAGAATTTACCAAAATTCTCAACTCCACATTCAGAATGAAAAGAAGTTGAGCTTAAAAATCTTAAATTCAAGAAAAAGAGTAACTGGCAGATTTTCCCATTCCTAGTTGCATTTTTTTTACTTTGCATTTCTTGCACATTTAAAATAATGTAGCTATAGTAAGTAGCAAGTGCAAAAGAGGGCATGTCAAACAAAAACACAAAATAAAATAAATACATTATTGAACAGACACACTGTGACTCCATGACAGAGAGATAATAATAATATGTGTTGCAGGAGCAGTGTGGTGTGTTCATTTTTATTTCCTGCTCAATACAGAGGCTGGAATCATGGCTGAGTCCCTCCTCCTGCCCTCTCCATTCTCCTTCATGCACTTTGGATTTGATTTAAAAGGAATCCACCATGCCCTTCTCAGTCTTGCTTTTACCTTCTCCCTCCATATGATCCCAATCAATCCAGGGAATTTGCTCTTCCCTCCTGAATACAACAGCCACATTTTTATTTCCTGCTCAATACAGAGGCTGGAATCATGGCTGAGTCCCTCCTCCTGCCCTCTCCATTCTCCTTCATGCACTTTGGATTTGATTTAAAAGGAATCCACCATGCCCTTCTCAGTCTTGCTTTTACCTTCTCCCTCCATATGATCCCAATCAATCCAGGGAATTTGCTCTTCCCTCCTGAATACAACAGCCCATCGGCTTTTCCATTAAAAACAAAAACAAAAAAACAAAAAACTACCTGTAACCATGCAATGGTGCACAGCAGCCTACCTTAGTTTCACTTCCCAGGATAGAGTTA